TGGCGGGTCCGGGCTGGGGATTCGAACCCGCCACCTTAGGTGTATGTGGCTGGCGCCTTAGCCGGTTGAGCTATAGGTGCCGAGCCAAAAAAAAGAGTTTTACTAAGGCTAGTCCTGAACTCCAGAGCTCAAGTAGTCACCGTTTCAGCCTCCCAGGATGGTAGAATTACAGGTGTGAGCCACTACGCCTGGCTTGGTCTGTGCTATTAGATACGAAAAGAGGGTGGTGCCTGTGGCTCAGTGTGTAAGGTGCCAGCTCCATATACCCAGGGTGGCGGGGTTGAACCTGGCCCCACCCAGCTAAAACAGCAGTGACAACTGCAACAAAAATAGCTGGAAGTTGTAGCAGGCGCCTTTAGTCCCAGCTACTCAGGAGGCTGAGGCAAGAGAATTGCCTAAGCCCAAGAGCTGGAGGTTGCTGTCAGCTGTGACACCACGGCACTCTACTGAACGCAACAAAGTGAGACTCTATCTTGCTAAAGAAAAAAAAAGAGCCACTTCAGGAATGATTCAAATAATTAACAAGACATGTGACTTCATTTTGGGGTGTAATAGGCACAAGACAAAGAAACACGGGAGGAGAGCCGCCGTGGCTAACGCATGTAATCCTAGCACTCTGGGAGGCCCAGATTGGTGGATTGCGTGAGCTCAGGAGTTGGAGATCAGCCTGAGCAAGAATAAGACCCATCTCTACTAAAAATATAAAAATTAGCCTGGAGTTGTGGTGAGTGCCTGTAGTTCCATCTATTGGCAAGCTGAGGCAGGAGGAGAATCGCTTGAGCCCAAGACTTTGAGGTTGCCATGAGCTCTGATGATGCCACAGCAGTCTACCCAGGGTGACAGAGTGAGACCCTGTCTAAAAGAAAAAAAAAATTATGTTAGTAGGAATGAAGCATCTTGTTCTTTTGCTCAGGACCACATCACAGGTAGGATGGCTATGTGTCTTGGACTTTCTGGACTTCAGACTGCCAGAAAACTCTGCAGCCACTGACAAGACCACAAGTAGCATGAAAAACAGCACAAGAAAACCCATTTGGGTACAGCCTTGAAGGACAACCCTTTCGTAGGTGCTTCTCATGCAAAGGAAATTGTGCTGGAAAAAGTAGGAGTTGAGGTGAAATAGCCAAATTCTGCCAACACAAAATGTCAGGGTCCTGCTGATAATGAACAGCAAGGCTGGGCTCACTAGCACTGTGGGAGACTGAGGCGGAAAGATTCTTGATCTTAAGAATTCCACAGGCTTGGCGCCTGTGGCTCAAGTGGCTAAGGCGCCAGCCACATACACCCAAGGTGGCGGGTTCAAATCGAGCCCAGCCCGCGAAACAACAATAATGGCTGCAACCAAAAAATAGCCAGGCGTTGTGGCAGGAGCCTGTTGCCCCAGCTACATGGGAGGCTGAGGCAGGAGACTGGCTTGAGCCCAGGAGATGGAGGTTGCTGTGAACTGTGATGTCACAGCACTCTACCCAGGGGGATAGCTTGAGGCTCTGTGTCAAAAAAAGAAAAAAGAAAAAAAAAAAAGAATTCCAGACCAGCCTGAACAGGAGCAAGACTCTATCTCTACCAAAAATAGAAAAAAAGAAAAGAAAAAGAAAAATTAGTGGTATCCTCTCAGTGCCTGTAGCCCCAGCTTCTGGGAGGCTGAGGCAGGAGGATGACTTAAACCCAGGAGATTGAGGTTACTGAGAGCTAGGCTAACAAGCTAACACCCAGGCAACAAAGTGAGACTCTTACGAAAAAAACCAAAACCAAACACAGGTCAGGCACTGTGGCTCACGCCTGTAGGACTAAGTGGTGGATTGCCCCAGTTCCAGACAAGCCTGAGCAAGAGTGAGACTTAGTCTCTAAAAAATAGCCCAGCGTCGTGGCAGGCACCTGTAGTTCCAGCTACTCAGGAGGCTGAGGCAAGAGAGTCACTTGAGCCCAAGTGTTTGAGGTTGCTGTGATGCCATGGCACTTTACCAAGGGTGACAAAGTGAGACTCTCTCTCAAAAAAAAAAAAAAAAAAAGGAAAAAAGGAAAGGACGGCTCACTCTTGGAATCCTAGCTCTTTGGAAAGCAAAAGTGGGTGGATCTCCTGAGGTCAGGAGTTTGAGACCAGCCTGAGCAAGAGTGAAACCCTCTCTCTACTAAAAAATAGAAAAAATTAGCCAGGTGTGTGGCAGGCATCTGTAGTCTTAACTACTGGGGAGGCTGAGGCAAGAGGATGGCTTGACACTAAGACCTTGAAGTTGCTGTGTTGTGAGCTACAATGACACAGCACTCTGCCCAGGGCAACAGAGTAAGATTGTCTGTGGGGGGCGGGGGAGGGGAAGAAAGCCAGAATATCACAGTACAGACTTTGCACCCAGTGATGGTTGCTTGAACTGTATTGAGGAAAATGAAGTTTTATGGTTTCTGGATTTGGCTGAAAAGTTCCAGCTATTGGTGACATATCTGGAGCAGCTTTACAGTTGTCAAAATAGCCAACATCTCTGTTTTTGGCCTTATAGGATAGAAAGAGTAAGACCGTAACTTGTTCTTTTTTAGGCAGCCTCACTTTGTTGCCCTCAGTAGAGTACCCTCACATCACAACTCACAGCAACCTCAAACTCTTGGGCTTAACTAATTCTCTTGTCTCAGCCTCCCAAATAGTTGGGACTACAAGCACCTGCCACAGTGCCTGGCTATTTTTTGAGATGGGGTCTTGTATCTGTGAACTCAGGCAATCCTGTCTCAGTCTCCCCAGTGCTGGGATTACAGGTGTGAACCGCTGTGCCTGGCCCAAGACTGTAACATTTTGATGGTGAAAACACAGTAGTAATAAATGTACCCTACTTTGCATTGAGCCTAATAAAACACTGCTTTATTTGAACAGAATTACCTTTCCCTAAAGCAGTTTTCAACCTGTGGGTCGTTGATTCCTGAGGTCAAATGACCCTTTCACAACTAAGACTATTGGAAAACACATTTTCACACTCATGAAGTAGCAACAAAAATAATTTTATGGTTGGGGGTCACATAAGGAACTGTATTAAAGGGTCGTGGCATTAGGATGGTTGAGAACCACTGCCCTAAAAGCCTTATAGCTCTGTATTTCCCCTTGTTTTGTCAAACTAAGGATCTACTCCGCTGTAGTCTCCCTTGTACACTTTAGGACATAGCTGATATTTTAGGCTGATGGGGTTGGATCTGTGGTCTCCCATGTACCCTTTGGCAAACCCGTTCTAAATATATTTTTCTCTTAAATTAGGATTTTAAAGAGTGCATACTGTGCTAGATGTGGTAATTCTAGCACCCTGGGAGGCCCAGCTGGGTGGATTGCTTCCAGACCAGCCGAAGAAATCCACTCTAAAAATAGCCAGGCATAGATAGTGCCAGGTATCTCCAGTCCCAACTACTTGGGAGGCTAAGTGAACAGATTTCACTTGAGCCCAGGAGTTTGAGGTTGCTATAAGCTATGCTGCTATGGCACTCTGAAGTGAAACCGTCTCAAAAGTCTGCTAAGATGTTACTCAAAGCCTACTAGGATTTCATTTGAGATGTCTTGAGTGGGGGTGTATATATATATAAAAACACAATTCCCTGAAGAATGTGATTAAGCTACTTAAATGATGCTTCTCCAGGCTAGGTTGTCCCAGAAATTGGTACAGTAAGCTGGGGAATGCCCAGTTAAATTCTGGGTGTTGGCTCAGCGCCTGTGTCTCAAGTGGCTAAGGTGCCAGTCACATACACCTAAGGTGGTGGGTTCGAATCCAGCCCGGGCCTGCCGAATGACGACTGCTGCAACCAAATAGCCAGGCGCCTGTGGTCCCAGCTACCTGTGAGGCAGAGGCAGGAGACTCACTTGAACCCAGGAGTTGGAGGTTGTTATGAGCTGTGCTGCCACAACACTCTACCCAGGGGGACAGCTTGAGGCTGTCTCAAAATTAAAAAAGAAAAAAAAAAAAATTCTGGATATTAAGTCTAGGGTGACCAGACGTCCCGATTTTTGGAAAAAATGCCCGAATGGGCTGGAGAACAAGGGAATATACAGTTTTCGGCCGCCATATGGCTATTTATAATGTTAAACTGTAATAAATTGTTTAAGAGCAATTATTGAGAACTGCTTATCAAAGTTTGCATTGTCAGGCCCTGCCCCGCGCCATCCCCCCCCCCACCACGCCATGTTGTCCCGCCTTACAGATGTTAGGATCTGGTCACCCTAGTCATCACATGCATGACTTGAGTCCAGCCCTACCCAACCAAATGGATGAAACACAGTAAAGTTCAAAAAAGGCAACTTTCTTATGAAGACTAAAACTATTGTATATTTACTCAAAGAGCTAGGTTGTACAATATTTAAGAGAATTCAATTTCTGATAGTCTCTTAAGTTATTGACTTGAAAAGTTGAGGATCTAAATGTAGAAAAGGAGAGCTTGGGTGACACCTGTGGCTCAGTGGGTAAGAGCGCTGGACCCATATATTGAAGTATGGTGGGTTCAAACCCAGCACCAGCCAAACTGCAACAAATACCTGGGCATCTACAGTCCCAGCTACTTTGGAGGCTGAGGCAAGAGAAACACCTAAGTCAGGAACTGGAGGTCCCTGTGAGGGGTGATGCCACAGCACTCTACCGAGGGCAATAAAGTGAGACTGTCTCTAAACACACACACACACACACACAAAAGGAGAGAGCTTTATTCCTGCACATCACCTATAATCCATACTCAGGGGCAGAAATGAATGCTGAGATGTATTACAACTAGATCCCAGAAGGTCAATCAGGGGCATGAAGATACTCAAATGCATAGCAGTCCATAGTTGGTATCTCAGGAGGAATATTGCTAGATCAGTCCATTGCCCAATTAAAGCTGTAGTGAGGGAGTCTGGTGTTCGTGACTTACAACTGTCTCACTGCTGCTTATGTCCACTGCCAGTGCTTGTTTAGCTGGTAGAGAAAAAAGAAAATCTTTTTGGTGGTTGGAATATAATTTATTATTTAAATATAAGGGTATCCAAATGGGTAATCCTGGTAGGGGCTTAGGCAGTTCACAATTTTGTGTCTTACTGCCACAAAGAACCCATTCTTTTTTTTTCTTTTTAAGACGGAGCCTCAAGCTATCTCCCTGGGTAGAGTGCCATGGCATCACAGCTCACAGCAACCTCCAACTCCTGGGCTCAAGCGAGTCTCCTGCCTCAGCCTCCCAAGCAGCTAGGACCACAGGCGCCCACCACAACGCCTGGCCATTTTTTGGTTGCAGCCGTCATTGTTGTTTGGCGGGCCTGGGCTGGAGATTTGAACCCGCCACCTTAGGTGTATGTGGCTGGCGCCTTAGCCGCTTGAGCCACAGGCGCTGAGCCAAAGAAGCCATTCTGTCACGTGATCTCTATGTCAATTATCGGTCAGTTATTGTGTAGGAGAGAGGACAAGGCATATTTGATTTATCCTGTGATGGTATGGCTTCTCCTGGGTTCCCCTGAACAAAAGATCAAATAAATAATCCCCCTGGGTCTATTCAGTAAGTTGGGGAGATTAGAATTCCATTTTTTAGTACTTATCTCTTACTGGATGGGAAAGCATAAATACATACCTAAACCACTGTGACAAGTTTAGAGGCTTAATCTAGTGTTAATCTACTGAGTACTAAGCACCAATAAATAGGTGGATACCTACCATATATATACACCTTGTTCTTTCCTCAGACCTAGAAAATACAAACAAATGTTTCAACAACGATAACTCTTCCTACATCCTTGTACAGAAATTCTTATGGTCCCTCAGACAGTTCCTTCTGGAACCAACTTTCCTCTTCTCCCCCAGCTAGCCCCAGTGGGTTCACCTTCACAGGCTCTGGAGCTAAGACAGGAAGTAAGACATGTGAATGTTTCTTCATTGGGAAATTTTAGCTTGGTTCGCCTTACATTTACATTTACTCACCTCTAATTTCAGAGTAGGGTTGAAGAGGGCTAAGCTTCCCTGCAAAGTAAAGAAATTAAGAATTAAGTCTCTCCCTGTTGTATGGAAGATATACTTGTACATGTCATATAATTTTCAAGGCACATTAATTTATAGACACCACTAGGTAAGCTAGTCCAAACAACTTTCTGGGTTGACAGTAAAGCCTACTCAATTTCTCATTTTTAGAACTTAATAGCAGAAAAAGCTCAGTTCAGAAAATACCTTTCAGTCACAGTTATCAGACTGGGGCGGTATTCAACTCATCACCGGTGAGCAGGAACTTAGGATAAGTAGTTCCAGAAGGACCAAAGACAGACTTTGAATTAAACCAGGGCTATCTTTAACTTACTTAAGTGCTGCAAAAACACTTACCTCTCAGATGTATTCTTGGGCTCTTAATAAGATGCTAGACCTAAAACAAACAAGATCAAATCAGTAATGCTTATGTCCTGCACTAAGTATTCTCATTAAACCATCATTTGTAGAGATCAGATTTCCAAGTCTCAACAGCAAGCCATCAGCCGAACGAGATTCCATGTAAGTCATCACATGCAGGCCTAAAAAGGCATTTTTTCCTACTCAATATGCTGCATGCACTGAATGTATATTGAAATTACTGACCTTTGAGCCAACAAGTAGGTTTCTGGTAACAGTACCTGGGGAAAAGCAAAGTTGTGGGCCAAATGTTCCTTTAATGTGGTACCTCCCCTCTCTCCTGTTCTCTCTAGTTTCTCAGGTGTTCGTGTATTTTCACTGTCAATCATAGTGAGCTAGTTTGATTCATCACAGAAACCGACTACTTGGTGGCACAAATCACAAGAAAAACTAACCTCTCAACTCCAAAGGCTTCCCAATGGCATTCAGAAACAAGATGGTCCTGAATTTAAAAAAGAATCACTTAATTGGCAAAGTATCCAAAATGACCATAGCTATTCCATGCCAATGGACAGGTGAAGAAAAGCTAAAGCAAGTGCTACCTATAGGTATTTGGCATACCTCAGACAGTTCCTTACGGAGTAAGTTCTCATCCCCTCCCAGTTACCCCAGTGCATTCTTTATTACTGACTCTGGGGCTACAACATAGGGTAGGACAGGATGCTTGCTCACATTGGCACTGGACCCTGGCAACTACAAGGAGTCTGATCCTGGGTGAATCTGTGGGCATCTAGGAGAAATAATGGGAGGTCAAGAGAAATTACTTGGCTTGGCGCCCGTGGCTCAAGTGGCTAAGGCGCCAGCCATATACACCTAAGGTGGCAGGTTCAAATCCAGCCCGGGCCACCAAACAACGATGGCTGCAACCAAAAAAAAAAATAGCCAGGTGTTGTGGCTGGC